TTCTGTGTTGGTGCGTTTGGCTTTTTTGTAATATCTACGTCTTTGTCTGATAAGTGTTTTTAAGTTAGGAGGAAACCAGGGTGGGTCATTTGGTCTAATGGTTACGTTTCTGTTAGGAATACATATTTTTGATATATCTATTATGGCTTCTGTGATTTTGTGTGCGTATATATTTATACTTTGGTCTTTAAATTGGTGCCAATTTGTTGAAGCTGCAAGTTCTCGAAGTTGTTGATAGTTGCCTTTGTCAAACAGCCATATATGCCTTGTATAAGTGTGAGTATTTGGTTTATTAAAATTTATCAGGCCAAAAACAGGACAGTGATAGCGAACAGGTTGGTCTAGACAAGGCTCACCAACACCAACAGTGTATATGAATAAAGGATTCGATGTGAGAATAATATCGATAAGTGAGTTGGAGCTTTCAGTAAAGTGGGTTGGCTCTGAAATAAGTTGAGTAAGAGAAAGTTGCTGACTAAGTGAGATTAATTTTCTAGAGGCAGTAGAATTAAGCATGTTAATGTTGAAGTTTCCCGTGATTATGATGTTTGATATACCGGAATCAACAGCAAGATTAATGGAATCTTCGATTAAGGAGTGTTGTAGAGTAGAAGTGTTAGGTGGGCGGTAGTAAGTACCATAGAGAAAGCGTTTTGTCTTGCTAATAATTTCAACCCAAATGCACTCAATTCCATGAATTTCCAAGTCATGACGACGCAAATAACGATAATAGCTTTTTACATACAACAGCACTCCTCCGCGACTGCCCCCTAACCGATCTTTCCTTTCTGGTTCATGAAAGCCTTCAAAGATTAAATCACAGTTTGGTGTCGAACTATCTAGCCATGATTCAGAGAAAGAGAGGATATCAAAGTCCTTAAATTCGGCAAAGAGCGTGTCTAGTTTATGTTAAATGCTCTGAACATTGTAGTGCATAAAAGAAAAATAAGAGGAAATATCTGTCAAGGCTATGCTGGATTTGGAGGAAAGGGAACTACTTGAAATTGATCTTGAAACGTCTGGTCCAGGATTAGGATGCACATCACCAGAAAGGCATATCAAACACATGAGAAATCCTAAGATTGAACATTGGATGCTAATAGCAGAGACAATATAACATATGAGAATGTGACAAGTCATTTCTGTAGTGAATTGTAGACATAGGATGTGTGCGTTTGAATCTGAATGTACAGTTTATTTTGTCGTTCTGGTGAGTTAGTCATGACTGCATTATCGACATGGATGATACTGTTGATAGATGTCGGTATATCAGAACTATAAATATCATGTAGAATCGCCAATGTGAGTTAAGTTTGAATGAATTCATGATGGCTCGTTTGTCCAAATGTTTTATCTTCATGTAATACCTTGTTCAAAACACATACAAGACACACAAGTCATCACAGAAAGTTCATTTATGTATATAATGGACTGTGAAACAACTATCAAGAGTAAAGGATAAATCAAGTCGGTCTTTAAGAATTAAAAAAAGAAAAAGTAAAAAAGAAAATGAAAATTAATCATAATGTGTAAATGTGATTCGTGTGAGACAGAATAAAATGACAAAAGAACTTAGAGATTCATTTTAAAGTTATTAATATGCAATTATATTTTAATAATAAATAATTGGATAAAACGAAATAAAACGTATATGTAACTGTCAATAATTATTTGTCTTGTAAACCATTAAATAATTTAATATGCATGTAATGAACAAAATAAGTAGAAAAAAGGAGATCTCAATAAATTGTCAATAATTATTTTTCTTGAAAACCATTAAGTTATTTAAGATCCGCAACTACATCTTACAGATATATTGGCAATAATACCGGAACGAAATTGATCACGAAGCGTATTGTCCCACTTATATTTAACCTCAGTATATTTCTCATGCATTGATGACAAGTTATCATAACATAGTGAAAAATGAAACAGAGCATGGTCACAATCACTGTTAAATCTGTAACCGATGAAAAATATTGATCACTCAATAAAAAAACACCCGTTATGGTTTACAACTATCACTATTCTACCATTAATAATACGTAGACAAGTAGATTAACATAAATCCATGACTATTGTGTACATGATCTATTGAGGCCCTAACAGAAGTTTGATCAGGACAATAATCTGTGTCATCATACAAAGTACGGATATTATCATGTACAATGAAATCACATTTATTTCCAATCCTGCTATTTAGGTCTCCTGATAGCAATACTTGGAATATTATAAACAGGCGAATCTTCATCCAGTATATTTGATACACATAAAATACGTCTTGATCAAAATAAAAAGACACGATCCAACTTTAATCAAAATATATAGTGTTATAACGATTTCTAACAATCTGAATACCGTTTTCCAAACTGTCTTTAATATAAATAGTAATTCCGCTACTAGACCTTTGCACATTTCTATATTGAAATTTTCTGTAAGAACTATAAGAATTATATATTTTACCAGTAAGGTGCGTTTGTATGAAAAAGGACTAAACATGACAAACAAGGAGTACAGTGTTTACAGAAGAACGGTATAAAAATCTGAAAACAAAGTGATCCCTCGGAAGCATTAATCACAAGAAAATTACAAGAGAATTGCACACTCGGTTTGATTGAATCTGTACATGAGGGATAATGAATATGTGTAACATCCCTCACGCCCCCTAGCACCGACTTGACCGGAACTCAATTCTCAACAACATTTCAATTAATTAACCTTTAAGTCACATTTTTTTCGGTTTATTGGATTCTAATTAGTTTCTAGCTATCTTTTTTTAAATACAAAGTATACATATTTTGATAAATTGATAAGTTCTTTAGGAAAACTGCTTGTAATTAATAATTAATTTATTTAATAGCCACCCACAGAAATACGGTTTTAGATATTGGTTGGAAATGAAACTCGTTTACTATTAAACGCAGGGAATTAATTCAACCAAATCTTCAGACATAATTATAAAAATGTTATCTTGTTAGTAATATTACTTTATTTCTTTTCATTCTCAATGTTTTGTTAATACAGTCCAAAGATGTATTTGTATCATTGTATGACACTTTGCTACTAAATAATGTTAACTTTGATGATTACGTGATGTTTAATTATATTTGAATGTATGTTTTTTTGTGATCATGTCACTTTGTACTCTACCTACCTACCTACCTACCTCGAATCCCGACAGGGACTTTGGATTCTTTCATATGAGGAAGCTATCCAGCTAGCTTACGGAACGTCGGTGGTTCTTCTCAGGTGCTCGTTCGTGCCTGAAATAATGCACGGAAGGGCACCTGAGGTCCTCCTCCATCAGTAAAGCTGTAACGTCGCGATATGACCTATACTGTGTCGACGTGACGTAAAACAAACAAACAAAACCTACCTACCTACCTACATATTGTTTGGTTTTATTAACCTGTCAATTACATACTGATTACACGGTCGATGCACACAGTATATTAATCTTCGGTAGATGTTCGGTAAGTTCCGTGAGATGTACGCTGTACGATGGAATTTAATTTAATTTGTATCCATAAACTAAGTACACTCAGCGTTATAGCGCAATAGGGTAAAGCACGAGTTTAAAATCTAACTGCCACACGTGTTTTTAAGTTCGAGACCGCATTGATCCATGTTTTTTTTCTTATTAATACTTTCAACATTATTGAAGCTATATATGATTATTTTATATTGTTTGTTTTGTTTTATTATGTTTTACTTAATTTTGTTATGTCTATACTCATTTAAATAACATGTTTACGAATTCATGTTTAAAAATAAAACGGATTAAAATCAATAAATGTATTTTCAATGCCGTAAAACACACTACAAATATGTTTCTTTAAAATATACTGCAAAAATAAAGAAAGAGTATTAGTGGCAACAGTAAGGATCGAACCACAGACCTCTCAATTATCAGGCATTCTTTTACCGACTGTGCTATCGTGAATTAACGAAAACCTTCACATTAAGCTGGTGTGACTTTCAATCCATGACTTATATACTCCACATTAATTCTCGTAAACTACACGGACCAAACCGAAGTGGGATCGAATATTTAAATGAGTCCTGTAATGTATTCATAATTGACAGGTCAATAAAATCAGACTATACATACCTATTATTTTCATTGTACATACATCACCTTATGTCTACCTATTTCAACATTTCAGTGGCGAGATTATGCGCTGAGAATCTAAATTTCTGAATTTATTCGTATTTACACTACGTTATAACGCTCAAATAAAGTCTTAATGAAAATAGTAGGGACATAATATTCTTGATTTTTTTAATTATTTTTCTATACCAGTCTTGTTTATCTATGTCCAAAATTCTGTTTCTTATAGAAATGTAATTATTCTCATTATCATAATGAGTTAACCATAGATTAGCCATCCCAATCTCTTGAAGGATTGTTTTCATATTGTAGGCCGACTTTTCCCTCTATATGTTTTGTTGTTGTTGTTGTTGTTGTTGTATTTCAAGAAATTTGGTGTACATGACAATTGCATACAGTTTAAGTTAAATTTACAAATGACAGACGAAATGAGTCGCTTATATAATGGATCTATATATCTATAAATAGATATTAAACTTGATTGATCATAAAGTCTCATAAAAGTATATTTATTCCGTTATAAAGTAAGTTGCTACTTCTATTTTTTTATTTTATTTTTTTTTATTTTAACCTTTCTACTTTTTTTTTAATTACATGTATAACCTTTCCACTTTTTTTTAATTATAACCTTTCAACTTTTTTTCAATCTTTGACAATCATATATTCAATAAGTATGTGTTCTGGCAGTAGACCACGTACACGAACTACTATATATATATACAGTCATTAATCTGTTTAATTAAATGATTAAACAACAATAAAAATAAGTAAAATAAAACAAACTTAAGAAATATGCATTTATTTTGCATCTTACCGTTTTAATTTATGAATTTATCACGTTATATGTCAGCCAAGTGTCTGAAGCTGTATAAATGTTACAAATTATAACTTAATGAGGGACAAATATACACACTTTAGTTATGATGCTTATTAAATATTCTATAAATGTATTAAATATATGTGACAACAATTCATTGGATATCAGGACATCATGAAGATAACGCGGAATTTTAGCAGTATATTCATTTGTGTTTTCATTGCAGGTAAATTTACAAGTTTTTACATTGATTCTTTGTAAATTAGTTAGTAGTGGCGAGGCATTTTGACCCACTATAAAACTAACTAGATTTCGGAGGACTTTGAATATATATCATTATGTAATATTTGGGATTTTAGGACAGGTTTTACGGACTTTATTAAATATTTACTGATTAAGGTGTAACTAGAGACTGGAATAAAATCAAAGTTTTCAAACATTTGATGCGTATTATATCTGTAATGTGCTATTTTTGGGTTTTTGTTGTTTGGGTGGCGTATATTAAGTAAGTAAAGGTACCTCTTTCGTGAATTAACATCTGCAAAAGAATGATGACATTTAAAGCTCGAGCCCAATGGCAGCATTTTATAAAGTCCGAGTGGTTCTACAAACGTTGCTGCACGAAATAATGTTCATTAATTATGGGCTCATCTTGCATATATAAAAGCTGACATATATAAACTTTAATGTAAGAGTGTGGTAAAATGATGTGTGTGAGCATGTGCATGGCGAGCTTAATAACATTTTTCCTTTACGAGTTTCATAAAAGTTTATATCAAATGTCAACCAATGTCAGATTCTTCCTATCTGACTACACTAACATGATTACATTTAGTAATAAAAAAATATTTTGATATTATTTTGATTTTTAATCAAACACTTAACGTGGGACAAAAGTGCCGTTATTTTATACGTGTGTTTATAGTAAAGAAATACGAAATGTTAATATTTCATTAAAAAGGAGTAAAAGAGGAAGAGGAAAAGTAAGAGGTTTGGATTAGGTACAGAACAAAACATTTGGTCATTTGATTTTCGTTCCAAGAGAACTGTTGTATGAATATGATATCATTTGAAAGTCTGTTTTGGTTATGAAATTACCTGGACTGTCATTAATTTATACTGCAGTCAGTATTTGTATTACATGGCGCCATAAAGTATGCAGCAAAGAAAGCACGTGTTCGCGTGATTTTATTCTTTATTGCTTGTTTTCTTCAAAATCCGTTATGAGATTAACCAAAACTGACCAATAATCAAAGCACTGGAGGCACTAATGTTGTTATCGACATTTATAGAGGTTAAGCTTGAGATGGTTAAACATAAAACTTTTTTTATTTGAAAAAATAAAAATATCTAAATGGTTTATCAGTTATTAGCAAATATTTAGCGTGCATTACAATTTTCACATAAATAATGCTTTAATGCGTATGATACAATGCACTTTTGGGATATAAAAAGAGTAACTATGCGGGAAAAAATGAAATGCAAAATGACAAAATGTACGAATAGTTTGAAACTGGTCTTATATCTGAGATTTGCTTAGTTAGATTAAAGTATCTTAACTTTGAGTATTATGAGAACAATAACACTTGTAAATTAAATATATTCTAGATAGGGATACCTATGTAATATAGAGAACTACCGTGTGTAGTATAAGTGTACATGCCATTATGATAACTGTGCCTTATTTGAGTATTTGTTGTTGTTGTTGTAAAATTTGTTCAACTTTTTAATACTTGATTTTACTTTAAATTGCACGGCTTTTGAAAGAACACATTCTTATGAAATAAATTCTGCTTATATATTTTTTAAAATATTACTATTAACAACACATTGACAGATACCAAAAAAATGCAAATTATTTTGTCTACGACGAACAAAATATTTACAGTTTTGATATATAACTTGGATCAGTTTACTATACTTCTCCTATTTAGTTACATTTTATATGGTCCCGTTAATTGTTGTATTGTTGAGACATCATATATTTATTTTGGAGTCGAATGCCGCTTTCAAAGAATGACTTTAAAATAGCATATTGAAGGTTCCAATTTCCCTTCCGTACAGGAGCATCCGTGGTTATGATCAAATTCTAGATTTTACAATTATAATATTAAAGAATTGACTTCTGCTTAAATCTGTGATAGAGAATGTTAATGGTAGTCTGCAATTTAATAAGATCAGTAATTCTATTAAATGCAATTTATTTTGCTAGTTTTAGCAAACATTAGTGGATTGCCATTGCTCTTTATGTTCGTGCCCAGACATACCGGCATACAACATTTTCAATTTTACCGTATAGATAGATACCTTATAGGTTCAAATTCTAACCTTTTATCAAGCTATTTAATAGTTCACATTTTCTTTTTGTATTTCTTATAGGTACACTAGTTGCAGTGTCATGTGCACCTGTAGGAAATAACAATGGTAAAAATGCTAAAGCGAAAACATATGTTCCAACACCAAATCCTACAGCGAAGCCAACATATGCTCCAAAACCGACTACCAAACAACCAGTACCTAACGTTTACAGGCCTACACAAGCGCCAAAGAAATATGTAAAGAAAGTCACCACAAAAAAGCCAGCTCCAGTAACTTACGCTTCTACACCAGCTCCCACCAAATACGTACCAAAACCAACTACCAAAAAACCGGCTCCACCTACAAATGCACCGACCCCGGCCCCAGCTACGTTTGCACCGACTCCGGCCCCAGCTACATCTGCACCGACTCCGACCCCAGCTACACATGCACCGACACCCGCTCCAACTAAGTATGCACCGACACTGGCAAACAATGCACCAACATATGCATCGACCCAGGCCTCAACATATGCACCGACCCCGGCCCCAGCTGCGTATGCACCGACACGAGCTCAACCTTTGCCAACAACAAAAAAGGTATCAAAAACTAAAGCTCCTCAAAAGCCAGTTCCTGTAACTTATGCACCAGTTCCAGTAACCGAGACAAAAGCTCCATCTACAAACGCGCCAACAGCTGCTCCGGCACCTGTTACAGAAGCTGTAGAAATAGAACCAGTTGAACCTGAACCAGGCGCAGCTGTCAAGCCAGGTGCATATGTACCTCCGTCAGCAGAAGTTGAACCAGGAGCAGAAGTAGAACCTGAATATGAAGTAGGTCCAAACGCAGAGGTAGAACCAAACGCAGAGGTTGAGCCAAACGCAGAGGTTGAGCCAAACGCAGAGGTTGAGCCAAACGCAGAGGTTGAGCCTAACGCAGAGGTTGAGCCAAATGCAGAGGTAGAACCAAATGCAGAGATTGAGCCAAATGCAGAAGCCGAGGCAGAAGGAGAAGCAGAGGGTGAAGCTGAAGCTGAAGGAGAGGCAGAAGGAGAAGGTGAAGGTCAAGCAGAAGGGGAAGCTGGTGGAGAAGCTGCTGAGGGAGAGGGTGCGGCTGGAGAAGCTCCTTAAGTTTGTTTGTATTGTAATCAAATGAAAGATCTGTCAATTTCTCCATACTACTGTGTCAGTATGATAAACGTATCAAATAATTTCCTATAATATCACATTGTATTTAACTAAGAGGCGGAAATTATTTCCTTGATCTGTACATAGTACGTATAACGTGAACATAAAATTCTTTACACATGATAATGTATTCAATAAAGCGAATACTTTTGTAAACTATTTTTCTCCTATTTCTTTTTATTTCTTTATTTCATTTAGTGTTGTAATTTTTCTTTGGTTGTAAAAGACAACCAGATACATTTCATTTACTAGACTGTAAATAAAGAACATATACATGTATTTATTTTGAAAAATAGTAATTCCTTATTTTGATGGTGTCCATAATCGATTAAATATCACCAGAATGGTCATTTGACATTTTATTATTGTTTTGTTTTTCTATCTCCCTTACAACTCAACGAAAGTTTCAACTAGACTTCAGTTTTGTTCAATAATCATAATACAAGTTGGTGAAGCATTATATAAAAGAATTGACATGAAAAGAAAAATAATAATGCGTGTAATGATGTGAAAATGTTGTGTATGAAGCCAAATATGCAAACTCGTTTTATTCAAACTGAGGATTTGATCAACACTACCCCTCTAACCAAAATAGCGTGTTGCCCGGAAACAAATATATCATCGTGAATTTAAGTTTAATAAAGGTTGGCATCGGCACATAACGCCAAACTATACATTATGTTCCATGCAGTTGCATTTTATAATTAATTACTGTAATATGGAACATAAACAAGACATTTAATTAATTTTTTTTCGAGGTGGGGTACATTGTTGATCACTTATAAAGTGTGTTTGAAATTGACAGTTATCCTTATACAACCATATTTAGATGTTGGATGTTTACATTACAAATATAGTACCACCAACAATTCTATGGTTATTTCGCAAAAACTAAAGTTTTTAGGTGGAACATTTTTCAGTATATTATTATGAAATATATCAGATCATGCAGTCAGTATATTATTTCATACGACAAAACCTCTATACCTTTGATTAATGGGCTTATCCATTTTAAATATAACGAAAACCGTAAAATATATTTGGGGACTATATATCACAGGCAAAAGTATCGGACCTGGGAAGAAAAAATATGACCAGATTGATAAAAAAAACCTGTGTGTTACCTTCTATATTGGTCGAAGGGTTTTATAAAGTTCTCTCTTGTGGTTGAGACTGTAAAAACACACAGAGGCAGCAAAATAAATAAATAAACAAGAAAGTCAGAAGTTTCGTTCTCACGTATACAACTGTAATTCAAATCTGCAGTGCATTCCATAAATATACAAAACCGTCAAAATCATGAAACAAACGATGAATGAGAAAATGAAGAATGAATATATATCAATACACATATATAAGTAAATTACCTGTAAAACACACAGAGACAGCAAAATTATTAAATAAACAAGAAAGTCAGAAGTTTCGTTCTCACGTCTACAACTGTAATTCAAATCTGCCGTGCGCATGCGTGGCGGTAAATCATGAGCGAAAAAATGAGGCCCGTCACCAGTTACTATAGTTAGTGTACGATATATGATGAATGATATAATGAGGCTATGGGAGTAAATATGAGATGAAGAGTGGATGGATAAGGAAGAATATATTTATAAGAAATGCACTATATATCATATTGGATATAATAATGGTAAAGTATATACATGTATATATAATGACAAATGACCCTGTGACATCTGTTCATCTTAAAAGTGTAAAAAAAACAAAAAAAAATGTATATAATGACCCCTTTAAAAATATACCATAAACGTGAAATAGTGATAAAAGTTTTTTTTAATTGTCTGGCCAATTGTTTTCACAACGGCCCGGGAAATGAATCCCTTGCTCGTAGGCTCGAATCTGGAGTTTCCGGCCTTCTCTTAACTTATAGTATATTTTTAAAGGGGGTCATTATATACATTTTTTTTTTGTTTTTTTGACACTTTTAAGATGAACACAGGTTTTTTTTTATCAATCTGGTCATGTTTTTTCTTCCCAGGTCCGATACTTTTGCCTGTTCTTTAAATGATTCTGGTTTCGTGTTTTGTAAGATCATATAAATTTTAAATAAGTTTTATGAAAATGTATTTTCATTCTGTCTATATATTTAAGTAAAAACTATAGGGGCGGTGATCCTTTGTACACTTCACATGTATGTCTTGTTTATTGTTATATTTTATAGTGTTGTTTATTGTTATATTTTATGTAAATACGTTTTGAATGTTGAATTTTTAGAAAGAGTAAATTAATTCGCCGTTAAATGGAAATAATCACTATAAAAAGTCACTTTCTTAGTACTCATTTTCCCAGTTTTTATATTATTTATATAAACAAAAACATGATTGACTAATTCGTTAACATGAAGTCACTTTTACTTCTTGAAAAACATGTAAAAAACAATACTATCATTTTGCTTTTCTTTATTATTCATAATTCTTCGTTAGCTGTCATTGCACATAATTGGAAAAGTCAGAAAAGTGGGGGATAACTCTAGGTATTTTTCTTAGCCTCAGCTTCATAGAAAGGTATCATACTTGGGTCCGTACGGTACATATCCCAGCATTGCCAACACTCACATGACTGTGGTACACGTAACGTAACCTGAAAATAACATACAGTAATTATACAACCTCGGTTATATTCTGTTTGACAGTAAGAGCTTTAAATTGTAACATGGTTCCATCTTTCAGCAGTTTTTAAAATTCAATACTTTGTTACAGTACATAGTTTGTTGAATTTTCTTAAAGTTATATAGTCAGACATTTATAAACTACATTTTTGTACTAGTAAATGATAAAGTTAAAGAAATTTACTTGTAGATAATAAAGTTGCAGAATACTTCTACTTGTATCATAAAGTGGTAAAAACTTATCAACTGGTAAATGATGAAAATGACACATGAAAAACTTAATGTCACACATTTTAGCTTGGTTAATGCGTTCTATCAGGATGTATATATGTTGACGTTCTCTCACATATATGTAATATAAATAACGCTTACCCTCTTAGCACAGAAATGGGGAAACTTCTTACAGTTCACTTCTTCCCATCTTCCCTTTACCTTTTTGTGCGTGTGAGTACAAAACACGTAAACCTTTTTGTATTCCACGAAATAATTTTCTAAGCAGATAGAGTTCCTTACATTAGGGTATGGTATCCGACAACGTGTCATGCAGAATGTTCTGTGATGGAAGAAGATATTAATGAGTATTCTAACTACAATACATATCCTGAACAGACTTTAAACTCTTACATATAGTATCAAATCTTTCTGAAACATATTGTCCCTATACTTGTTAAGTTATCATCTTTTCTCGCATTTAAGATTAAAAGTTTAAGTTTGTAGTTAAAATGATATAGATTGTCACTAACGCTTTATTACCTTTTGCGATACTGATTTAAGATTTATATAAAATGAAGGAAAGACAATAATTGTCAAATTCTGAAAGAATCATTGAAAAAATATGTCTTTTTGTTTCGTATGTCTTTCAATATTGTTCCGAAATAACTTCTATGGTATGATAAATAACAAAGACTACAAAAACAGCAAGACTTCTCGTGTCCAGTACAGATAATGTTTAGTTTTGCTTAATGAAACTCAAAGCTTATACGAACGTTGTGCAATTCACAATCCGAACTTGTTGCAAGCATGGATGCAGAACGTAGCACGTTTCAGTGTATTGTGGGTTATAGGGATTTTTCCACGTGAACCTGCTCAGCCAAAATACTTTGTACGGACATGTCACTTGCCAATAGTATCTTCTCATGTCTCTGTAAATAAACAAAGTTGGTGAAAAGTCATAAAAATCAAATTTGTTTTGAAATAAAGTTTTATCGTCTGGTACGATGACAATTTATTTTATTACCCCTCACTTTTTTCGTAATGCTAATTTCCCATAGGCCTCTGGGAGTTATTTTTACTGTTAATGCAAGTGTACCACGTGACTAAAAATTTTGTACTGTTACATAGGTAACAGTATTTTTTAAGCGGTCACGTGGTCTATTTCCTAAATAAAATGAAATAAAATTGCCGCCATTTTTTTCTCGATTCATTCTTATTTTCGACGTTAAACCCCGATAGGACATCAATTTCTCCTCTGGAGTCCCTATGACACTCGTAAAATTTAGTTGTTTGTACCCTGGTGTACTTTTCGCGTATAAAATATCTTTTTGCTCAATAGTCAAAAGTGAAATCCGTTTTCAACGGAAGTGATTGCAATGTAAATAATTATGTGTCAAACTGAAACATGCAGAAGATTTAAGCATGCAACAAAGGATTATTTAACAAATTTAATCAGTGAAAACGTTACAGATATGGTGGACATAGGATATCATCGTTATTTTGTCAAAAACCATGCTAAGAATATATTGGAAACAGAAGGATCAGATTTCACAGATCATAACCGTGTAAATGGGTTAGTGTTTGTTTCCTAAATAAAACCTAGCTTATTGTATGTTTATGATTTGTAGATATCATCACTTGCTTAAAGAATAAAAGAAAAAGAAAACTTCTCAAGTAGGCCTACAGTAAAGTACACTTAAAACTTAAAAGGTAAGGACAGTTTTGTTATTGTTACTCTTGGTTTATTTTTATTACAGTTAGATTTAGTTGACAATTTCAGATCATCTCAGTATTTTTGTTCGGGATAATAAAATAAATAACACATGGGTTTGTGAGTAACAGTAAAAATATCATCCCTCGTAAAAATACTGTTACCCTCGGCTACGCCTCGGGTAACAGTATTTTCCTCGGGATGATATTTTTACTGTCACCCACAAACCCATGTGTTATTTATATAATGTCTTTTCGTATCTGGTATGATGACTATTTATTATATCTCATTGTTTCTTGTACGATTACTATTTATTATGTCTTATCGATTCTGGAAAAATGACTATTTTTCATGATCATTGAGAAAGAAAATGTTGCAATAATTTTTTTTTCAAATGTAGTATTTTGATAAGATATTTAGTTAATAATGATTGCTACATACTATTTCGCACCCGTTGTTATTATAGTTATTCCGCATTTTATACATATTATAAATAAATAAATAAATAAGGAACGAATAGTGAAAGCAATAGTTTACAAACCGTGTTAATACTTAATGTTATGAAATGTATTTTGTTTTATTATTATAAATTATCTGTTTAAATTCGAAGTTTGGAGTGACCTTTTTCAAAAGTTGTGTAAAACATTAACTTACGGCCTGATTGCATAAAGAGACTGGCATTTAGCGTTTGTGGGTTTCTTTAGCTTTTTTGGTATGTTCCTTGCTTTCATCACCCATTCCCACCTATACAGTGAAAAAGTATATGTATCTTTAACAAAGTTAGAAATCATAATTATAACGTTTAATTTAGGTCTGTCTAATGAAGCAAGACAATTGCAACATGTATTATGAAACTAGATCAATACATTCTGGCAAATGAAACTGTAAAAAATAGTTTGCAGAGTGTTTTACGAAACCAGTCTATGTTGAACCTAAAGAAAGGTTGTTAAAAATATTCTTTGGCAACAAGGTGTTTTATCATTTAAAAAAGTTCATTACACGTTTTTCTTCTATCACAAAAAGCTAATTTCATTTTTGGGGGAATATGCCCCTCCCCCTACGAACGGTGAAGACCCGTGGTCTTGGGTAAAAAGGAAAAAAGTTAAAGGGTCGTAATTGTTCTATTTTCGGGAGAAAAAGGAAACTTTTTCCCCCCTTTTTTCATAGGCGATTAAAAGCTGGCATAGAATTACTTCATCGAAATAAACAAAGTCTTAAAAAAAATGTTAAAATATTATCAATTTCTTTTTAAAGGGTACTAGTTAAGTTATAAAAGCTTATAGTGTTAAAAAATAAATTTCTTTATTTTTTAAAACCCCCATTTTGTATAAACAGACTTCTTTAAGTTATTCGGGAATTGTACCCTCTAAAAAGAAGGATAGGATGATGTCGATGAGATTTCTAACTTTATAATTATAATTTTATCTTTTATGGAAAAGGACAGTTTCAAGTGTATGGTTTAATTTTGCATGTTCTCTTTTTCCCTTTTTGATATATACTGTATTTTTACAAACTTGTGTGGTGGGAAATATTGTAATAATTATTGCAGATTTCCCTTACCTAAATTAATAAATTTTATATTACAAAGTTTCGCAAATAAGAGATTAGCACAGTTGTATTCTGGAATTTAAATTAAAATGTGATTATCAGTTAGCCACGGGGGTTATTCGTGCAAGATGTGAAATATCACGTGATATGTCTGATACACCATTTGCAAGATTGTAAACCGTATATGAATAACGAAAAAATGAACAAAAGATAAAGAGTGCGTTGATATTATTTTAGGTAAACATGTAAACAGTGACTCATAAAAAGGTATTTACAATATGTGACAGATAACGACATTTTCATAACGTTACAAAACATATTTAACAATCCCGGATCTGCCTTGAGTTTTTTTTCCTATCATTGAAGAAAAAAAAATATTTTAAGTATCTTTGATGTTAAATTAATTAATATGCGACTTTTTAACTTAAGATTTTTATAAAAAAGTATTGGTTCTTATCTAGTAATAGTATTTCATATATTTAAATGGATATACAAGACAGCAGGGTGTATGTTAATGTCGGATCTAAAGAAGAAATATAACATAAAAATACACTAAAGATACATTTTTAAGTTAACTGCTGTACCAGTTAGATATGTTTTATTTTCTTGATGTAGTTGATTAGTTGCTGTCGTTGCTGCTGTTGCTGTTCAAATCTAGGTTTTAACATGAACTTGAAATATGCTAATTCATTCACCTTAGTCATTGACATTGAAAAATAAGCTACGTGTCTTTGCTTACGACAAACAGGCGTTTTATGCTTTACAAAACTTATTGAAAACGTCAACACGAAAACCAGTACATGTTGTGTTCTTACTACACATGGTTACTTCAATAAATAAAAAGATTTAGAGTTTATAACAAAGAACAGTATCTTGATTCGCTTTATACATATTAAGCCGAAGTTTCGATAATAATTTTTCTGATATCAATGGTTAAAAGAAAAAACAAAATAAGGTACAAATTTAGAAATGAAGCTTGATATTTTATATGTTGATGTGAAGAGCTCCAGTTTTAGATTACAGCTTGAACTAAATAAATTCCTTTACAAAAATGATTTGAACATTCTTTGATTTTTGTTTAAATGATTTTCAATGAAAAAAAAACTTACCATGTTGCTTGTCGCTTTTGTCTGAAATATAAAATATATCTGTTTAGTTTAATTTTTATAATTATTCAATTAAATCATAATATATGATATGATAACTTAATCAAAATTATACAATAAAGTGCTGATATGTCTAATGCTTACTAAAGTATTAATTCCACAATATGGTAGGAAATGGTAAAATGTACCAGTAATTCCTTCAATGACACGGGAAGATCATTGTCGCTCGTTTATAAACACCTGTATTGACCGCTAGAAACATAGGTTCGTCCGGGGGTATTGTCAATATTCGAGACGACTATTGCCACATGCTAACCTTTCAAATAGACCACCAAGAGGTGCAATGTTTGTTTTCTTATTGTATAGAGCTCCTCGGAGATTTCGAGTTCACGCTTTACACAGATTAGTGTTCAAAGTTTCACGACGTAAAATGTTTTACACTTTTTTATGATGACAGATTTATTGTATAAGAATAATGTCATAATGACAAGATATAGATTCCGATACAATATAACTACGATTTTCTGTTTGTCATGCAAAATATTACTGCTTGTCTGTCTGTGATCGGCTCGGTGCCGTTTCAAAAATGACATGAAACTTTGTGGTTATTAAATTTGAAATATTTTTACCCTAGTAAAAATATATTATTTGTGTTTGTCTAATTCTATGAAAATTATGCCACATATTCTTTGACACTGATTGGAATCATGGCCCTAAACGAGCAGATAACACTTAATATTTTGGGATAAAAGAGTCAGTTAATATATTATATAATAAGGTGTTTTATCAACATTTGAATATATCATTTTTGCTTTATTTAAAAAAGCCAAAAAGGATAATCCATGCCCGAGATCACGGAGAGTCATCACGGTTATAGGAAAAGGTACACGAGGAATTGCCTCCTTGAATAATACGTGTATTTATAAATCTGTCTTATGTTTCGATCGGTTCAGCTGTCGTCTTTTATGTCATCATTTTGACCCAACGGAGCTCTATTGCACGTTGTGCATGCTGACATAAATTGCAAGTTTAAGATAAATAATGAATCCATATTGCCGTAATAAAGGCCATTGCATCTTAGAATGCTATCAGTAGTTCAAGATATTTTGTAGAACAAGTTGTTTCTAGACGTAACAAAAGCGCACCTCAACACGATCCGATTAGAAAATGATTATTATAATATAAATGTTTTATTACCAGTCTGGACAACATATGATTAATCTTCTGCAGCTGATGCACAATATATCAAATTGTCCGTGTAAGGATTAATTACCTTCTTATGTGGCAAGTTTTGCAATTCATGGAGTGTCATCAGAATGTTTGTCAGCATAAATATTTATAGAAATATCATTATCAAGTTCGTTAAAATATTCTAATACCTAATTGATTTTGGCTGTTAAAACGTTTATGCGGAAAATGACTGGTTAGTTCCTTTTTTATGCATAAAACTAAATTTGAGATATGACTCTGACATAAAACGATACACAGTCCTCAAATAACTTGCATTGCCATCACTACGGTGCTTCGCACCAACACAATAAAAGCAAATGACGACTTTCCAGCTCAGCTGGTGGAGGAAGACTTTAGGTGCCCATTCGTGCATTATTGCACTCACGAGCGATCACCTTAAAAAAGCCATCAACGTTCCGTAAAGCTAGTCGGATAGCTTCCGCACAAAAAAAGAATCAAAAGTCCATGGTGAGATTCGAACCTTCAACGATGAGGTGCAAGTTTTTTTTAAATCAACAACCTTAACCACACCGCCGCGGACGCCCTCTTTATACTGCGTGTGTATCGTGATGTAACGTCAGTTACATCTAGCTTGTCTTCTTAAAACATTGAATCCGGTTATTTAAAGTTGAATCTGCAAATTGTAGGCGCTGAAATATTATAAAGCATTCACTTCGTTTTATTAAATCTTAATCATAGTAAGTCTATTTTCCTGTATTGATTTTCAATTAATGTCCTAGTTTATGAATGTTTGGTTGATTTTTTTTAAATGTTTTATCATTCACTTTTTACCATCAATAAAAAAGATATGGCCATTGTATCATTATGAAATTCTAACAAAGAGATTATCCCACGGAAGCACCGAAGATAGCAAAGCTATATGAAAATTGCAGGCTCGGTTTAATTGAATGTGTTCATGGTGGATAATGGAGAATTGCAACATCCCTTTTGCCCTACATACACCTGTTTTAGCGATATTCAATCCTCATAATTTAATATGATTGACATCATTGAATTAAGTCAGCAACAAGCAGTCAAAGGCAAATATTCAAAAGTGTTTTGTTTACTTTTGACCTATGTCAACAAAGACGAAGCCATCACCTTATAATGTCGATATTTAGCAGTGGAAGTATACCATATATATTTGTTTCCCCTTCGGTGATTCGCAGCATGTCATACTAGTGAATGAGAACTGGAAAGCAGAAAAAAGTATTGCTGCACATGAATTCGAAAGCAGACCCTAACATTGTGAATGTCCGAAAATCTATTTATTGTTTTGTGAACAGCAGATTCGAAAAAATGACAGTAAACATCTATAATAGCTACAATACTTTGGAATTTGAAAAAGGTACTGTTTTTAGGATGGTATATCTGGCCAACATTTCTTTACTCATTTCGTTGTATAAACAGTCAAGCAGGTAATTGGCATATCTCAGTTATTATCAGATATGATCAGCCAGCGAAGGTCGCGTAGAGACAGAGTGAACTATTTTTAGCCCAAAAATATTAGATTTTATTAATGAAATTCCTTGCTTTGTCTATATAGAGTTAAAATGTTGAGCTATGTAAAAGGCATTTTCTCAGTTTATTTTTTCTGTTGTAAATAAGTTTAAAGAATAGTTAATAAAATGTAAGTGTATCAATCTTGTATACCATAAATAGTACAAATATATATTGATTTAATTATCATGCTTTCACTTGGACTTAATCTATACAAGCACAGAGTTCTAAATGAAAGACATTTTCAGCGAAACCGTGTTTAAATAGATTTCTGTTAAAACAGTTATTTGGGTAATTTTCATTGAAAAGCCTCCCGTGACGAATTCAATCTCCAATGAAACTATGAAAAATGCATCAATACTGATGAAACTTGGCACAAGTGTTAACTGGACCAAAGCCTCTGTCACAGCATGCTTGACCTTAAATTTCCTGTTACCATGGCAATGGGGGACGTCTCAAAATTGCCTAAAATCACTATTTTGTATTGTATTTTTTTCCATATAAACTGATTTCAAGGTGCTGCAACTTCTCAATTGATTGAGATAGAGTAAAAGGCTTATCAACGTTGGTAACACGTTACTTTATGATCGACATGAGGCCATTTTAGCCTGTCACATGTCCAAAATTTTCTTGACGATGAGGTGGGCTGCCGCCCCTTCAAACCCCCGAAACAGTAAGGGGCACATTCCCCTTCTGGCAACTCCTTGATGTACCTTTTTGATAGGGGCGGCGCCGTAAAAGTGATCACATTTTTATCAACATTTTTCAAACGATAAACAGTGTTTGAAGTCTTGATAGGGCATTTTTCACTGTTTGAGGCCGCAAAAGGGGGCGGAGAGCGAAAAGCCGTCAAACACGTCTATATGAGAGAGTGACGGAAATGGCCGATATGTTTCTATTTGACTTATCAGAAGTTCTTACTTTCCGCAAATCGAACAATTAAATAACTCTTCAACAGTTGTTTAAAGACCTCTCGCCTGCTTCTTTTTAAAGAAGCAAACTTGTAGAAGTAGTTTTGTACTAAACGTCACATATGAATTTTCATATTTCTTACTAGGATTAGTTGTTGATATTTGTAGAAAATTAGTAGGATTATAAGTACAAAGAAAATGTACATGCTTTGAAATTGTTATCATCTTTGATTACATGCTTTTCGATGGTTTATAGAAATATATCAGTGATTTAAAACTGGTAATTTCACTGTTTTGAGTTTAAGCCCATTACGTTGTTTCAGTGAAATGCCAGCGTGCACAGTACTGGGTACCAACTTAATGACGTGACGTCGTAAATGACGTCACATTGTATTATTATTTGGCGCGCTTTTAATTCAATATTAGGTTTTATGTCTTTTCAAAACGTTTCTTTGCATATAATAAAAAGAAAATTTGTTTAGTTTAGTGTAAGATCAAAATATATTTCACCTTGTGAACACCAAAAGTTCATATTTCACTCGTGGCTGCGCCACTCGTGAAATATACCTTTTGGTGCACACTCGGTGAAATATATTCCGATCTTACACTGAACTAAACAAATATCCTCTATATGTTATTGACTACAGTAGTGACACAAACAGAACATTGTTGCACTACAGTCATGTTACATTACAGTTACAAGTCTTGTAAGTCTTGTTTGTATTCAATGAAATTACTTTCCTTACCAGGTAGAAATCAGTGAAAGCATATTTTTTAATTTTAATATCTGGCCCCTCTCTTCTGGACTGTACATGTATGATACCAGAAGTGTAATGTTTACAAAACTTTCAGAAAAATGTACAATAGTACTTAATCTGAATATAACATGACCTGTTCGTAGGAATGATTTGATAAGGTATTTTTTGTGCAGAGCTTCTCGGTTGCTGCATTGCAGCAACATTTGTACTTGTTTAACTTAAGATTGCTCTTTTTGAAGGATTATTTCAAAAACATCATTTTCTGTATGTTTATTTATATCAACAGGTGAAAGGTAAAGTGGTAAAGATTCTTTAGTTTTAAAAATATAAATATTTTAATATATAAAGCATATGAAGAAAAACTGTAATTGTTTTTTTTACAAAAATTTTGTCATGATAACGACATGAATATGTTCTTTCTGATCTTTCGGTCTACTCTTATTACATTGGGGCGTCCGTGGCCTAGTGCTTAAGGTCGTTGACTTCAAAGCACTTGCCCCTCATCGCTTCGAATCCAGACAGGGACTTTGGATTCTTTCATGTGAGGTTTTACGGACCGTCGGTGGTTCTACTCAGGTGCCCGTTCGTGCCTGAAATAATGCACGGAAGGGCACGTGAGGTCTGCCTCCACCAATAAAGCTGGAACGTCGCCATATGACCTATACTGTGTCGGTGTGACGTAAAACCTAATCAATCAAACTCTTATTACATCTTTTAGTATGCTTACGACCTCTGACTACAGAGTTATGTATCAGTCAGTGGTAAAGAGCGCTCGTATATTATTAACAGGAGTTAGAACCCCTTCCAGGGCGAGATTTGTCTCTTTTAAAGTCCGAAGGAAAGTGACTAGGTCATTGATTTTAAACTGTTTGGAAAATGATTCATGAGCAAATGGTGAAGGTGTCTGATAACAAGAAACTATTGAGTATCTAATCTTAAACTTTTTTTAAAATAATCTTGATCTTTATTTTTGTAAATGTATTTAGCCATATTTTGCCGGCTTCAAGTGATTTAATATCACACGAAGTTGATATTTTTGTTATTTATCTATTTTGATTTTGGTGAGGGAGGGGGTTGACGTCGCACCAACACAGTATGGTTCATATGGCGCCTTTCTGGCTTTACTGGTGGATTACCTTGCATTTCAGGCAAGGCGGGCACCATAGTAGAGCCACCGACGTTCCCAAAGCTGGCTGGATAGCTCCCTCATATAAAAGAATCCAAAGTCCCGGGCAGGATTCAAACATATAGCATTGTGGGGAAAGTGGCTTGAAGTCAATTACCTTAATCATTTGGCCAAAGACGACCAAAATTACTATTTCGGGACTTTAAAATTTTCTATAAAAAAAACTACATTTCAAATTTAATTTGCGGCTGTTGGATAGAATCAAACAACATCTTAAAACTTATAGCATTCTAATTTGGAGGAAAGTGAAAAAAAAACGAATGTGTGATATAATGCGTCTAACTCTCGAATACTGATTGCAATAAGCTTACTAAATGAAATGTTTGTCGCTAAAACTAGTATAACAGGGAAGAAAATCAGAGTCAGTATAACACTACACTATGCTGTTTAAATAACTACTTTATTCGTTGCTTTGATAAGACATATTTTATTAAATCACACGGCTCCAATTTGCTGCTTCTGGTAGAAGGGTATCATTTTAGGATCAGTCCTGAACATGTCCCAACAATGCCAACACTCACATGTCTGTGGTACTCGTATAGTTACCTGGAAAGGAATATAAATGGCTTTATATAATAAAATATCATTTAATGCAATAAATCAGATTGTTATCCAAAAGAATATAGTAAATGTGTATTAAATAGTATCCATCAAGTGTATAAATATTATTAAAAATATGATGTGAACAGATATGAATATAAGTCACAATAAATATTTTCAGTAAGACCATTCATTGTTTGTTATTTCCGTTATTTAAAATAGACTTAACATTATCTATATTTATTCTTATCTGTATCTTATTTTGTTGCGGCCTTAACTATCTGTACATAACGACGGCAAACATAAAAAACAGTTTGAAAGCTACAGTGCATATATGACAATTTCATTTTTGAAAACTTTATATTCAATAAATGCTTTGATATGATAAATGACACCAGCACAAATTAATTGTCATATTATATTTCCAATCATCAGAACTATCGCGTTAAAGAATGAATGTTACGGTATAATGTTGACTTGTCTATTTTGTTAAACTAATGTACATATATGAGTTTATATATTGCTTAGCCTATCTCTTTTACTTGTTGCTTTCCTTTGTTTGTTTGCTTTTTTTTGTTTGTTTTTTTTTTTTTTTTTTTTTTTGTTGTTGTTGTTGTTGTTGTTGTTGTTGTTGTTGTTGTTGTTGTTGTTGTTGTTGTTAATCTTACATACGCGCTTTAATTATCGAATTAAAATTCATATACTTAACATAATATTTCAAACAATGAAACTTTACCCATTTAAGACATAAATGTGGGGTTTTACTACAATTCACTTGTTCCACTTTTCCTCGAACAGTCCTGTAAGTCTTAATACAAAACACAAGGACTCTTTTTGGTATGAAATTATTCTCCAAACAAATAGAGTTGTTCACCTTACAGAAAGGTGATCGAAATCTCTGGTCGCAAAAGTGGCTTTAAAAGATACATAAAAGTAAAATATAAATAGACATATAGGTTTCAATATAAAGTATTCACATGTCTTTACTTAATATTGATACATAATTACCGTTTGAAATAAAATTTATCCTGGTATAAAGTATTGCAATCCTCGTATGAAATATTTCAATGTTTTAGTTTTTTACATGTATAAATGACACTTTTCCAAAAAAAAAAATATTTACATTATCAAACTTTAGTATATTCTTGACAAAAATATTAAACCAATCCCTAGAGTTTACCATCTTGTTTGGAAAATATTGACGATTGAAGATGTCAAAGATGAGGTTTACTTATTTCATTGTAATCTAATTTTAGAAAAAAAGAGAAACAAACAAATAAAAAACCATAGTTTTCATTAAAAACTAACAAACCAACGAAAAGCACAATATAATAAAAATTCAGGTTAATTTAAACATGTATCTGTCAGACATGATAACACAGAAAAAATGTGGGTTCAGAAAACCGGTACATATTTTTTATCTATCAATGGAGCATCGTTTTATTTTCACATAATAATTGTCCAGGTACAATTCTGAACATTTGTAAAAATAAGAGAGGTTTATCATCCAAATTTGAGAAAATACTGTACAGGTACAGATTAATTTACAAATATATCTTAATTCAAAATTTGTCAAGAAGAAAACCATTATTTAAGAAGCAGGAAAAAAACTAAAAAAGGATAAAAAATGACACCAGTAGATCTTGAATCAACGCGCCACGTAAACTCTGCATTTGGCATCTATTACCTTAATATTGAACAAATGGGACTGTAAGTCTTAACAGTGTTGTTTTTACTAAAATCGTTTCACTTACGATGTACAGTTTACAATTCTGACTTGTTGTAGACATGGTTGCACGATGTAGCACGTTTCTGTATATCTCAAGTTGGTCCTAAATCTCCATGTAAACTTTCCCAGCCAAAACACTTCATATGGGCATGATATCTGCCAATAATACCTCCTCATGTCTCTGTAACATTATTATATACATGAAGTTTAGTTAACAGTGTTTTCACTTTTATCATTAAAGTATTACATATGCTAGGTAATGTCATACTGTATGTATGGGTATTGCGTTATGTTCTGTTATTTAATTGTTATTTTTATTACCGCCTCCGATGTATTTGTCCGTCTTTTCGCTAGCAGCCTTAACGCTGGCCATACATGTACAATTTTCAATGACAAAGTGTCATAATTGGCCAACCATATGTCTCAAATAGAGCTTCATTTTAATGAAATAGGACATTTATTTATCAAGATATTGTGTTTTACATATACAAGTACCTACAATCATAGATGTATATAAATAATTGTATGATAATTTAGTCACGCCTGTAATGAATTATTGTTCTGAAGTATGGGGATTTCACAAAGCTACTCATATCGAAAGAGCGCATCTTAGTTTTTGCAAGAGATTATTAGGTGTTGAAATAAGTTTTCAAAATGCATTTGTTTATGGTGAAACCGGAAAAATCTCTTATATTACTCATAGATATTTACATATAATACGGTACTGGTTAAAGTTATGTCAAAGTGATGATGTTAAATATGCAAAGAAAATGTACACTGTTTTAAAAAGTGATCTTGAATCACATCCTAATCATATAAGTTGGGTATACTATGTACAAAGGCTATTATCTATATTAGGATTTTATGATGTTTGGTTAAACCAAGGAGTTGGTGATGTCAATATATTTTTGAATATTTTAAAGACACGATTGTACGATATAATTATACCAACAGGACAGGAATGCAAGTTTATAGGCAAGTTTATAGGAATCATTATTATTTTACAGAACAATTTCTTTTTTTGATTGTTAGAATTATTTAAATGTTTTAACTGTAGAAAAAAATAGAAAGTCAATGTCTAGATTGAGAGTGTCATCCCATAGGTTAGAAATTGAAACAGGCAGATACCTATAAGCACACCAATTGAACATAGAAAATTTAAATTTTGCAATGCATTAGAGGATGAATATCATTATTGAGTGTACACTTTACGCTGAGCTCAGGCGTCAGTACATAAATAGAAATTACTGGGTTCATCCAAATTATATTAAATTTGTAGGGGTTATCAATGCCAATGTAGTCGAAATAAAGATGTTAGCAGCTTTTATTTACTATGCATTTGAAAAAAGAATATTCCTCCAGTTTAAGAAAGACAAAGAGAAAGAAAGTATAACATGTCATGTATCATACATACGGTTTAATATTGAAGAGCTTTCTGCATATCCCACCTTTGCTGTTTTTCTTAAACTTTTTGGGGTAATTTCTTGCTTTCTTTACCATCTCAATACTAAAAGATACATTGATACAATAATACAATATGATTTGTAGCTTACCAGTTGTAGTTAATACTTAGAAGAAACAATAGTAAAACACAACCGGTTAACTACAGTGTTCCGACATATTAATTATAGCTGTATCTGTTTATATTGTTTTAAATATTTTACGAGTATAAAAAACAAAGAATTATTTACTTTTAGGATTTTACTTACAGTGAAGTCCACATTATTGGACACTAACCACTAACACACAATTTAGCCTACGTGAATAAAAATGGTATTGTATCACTGTTGAGATAAGTTTTACTTCTTATTTACATAGTAGTTATTTAGGCCGAATCTTACACAAAGAAATTGTCACTCACAGTTCTTGATAGATAAATTCTCCGTCAAAAGACAGAAAGTTAGAGGATTCTGTTGGTAATGGGTAACATTTATCTACACTGTCAGGATCATCGTATTTATTGCTCGCTGCTACATCAGACATTGCAGATATATTTGCTGATAATCCGAGAGTAATTATCACAAGCAGAAATGAAATGCCAGCCTGGATTGAAAAGCAAATAAACAACGAATAACTGAATTTTGTAGAAACAATAGGTAAAAATGCTGACAATAGAAGATCTCTAAAGAAATATAAAGCAAAACAATAATACCAGTAAGTGTGCTCGCAAAAATGTTTATCATAGACAATAAAAATTTCAACATTAAGATGTATTTTATTCTCTACAATAAAAGTATATCACGATATACCGGGGAAAATATAAGATATTGGCCTTCATATACGTCACTCGATATGCTATAATAATCATTGCTTACAACTACTACAAATTTTGAGTTTTTTTGGGTTTTTGTGAGGTTTTTTTGTTTTGTTTTTTTTTTTGTTTTTTTTTTTTGGGGGGGGGGGGTTGTTATTGTTTTTTCTTTGGGGGTATTGTTATTATTGTTTTGTTGTTCTGAAATAAATATTTTGAAACTTTTACTTTATGTGTAAAACAATAATTGTCCTTGTAGACAGGTGATCGGACATTTTTCACTTCACCCATCATTGTTATATTTTTCAAGTAAATGAATATCCACATGATTTGCAGTTGCATACGGTGGCATAGAGGTGACATTTGCACTTTTATTTTATCTCGTGGCCACGACTTATTATCTTGAGGCCTCAAGATATTATCTCGTGGCCACGACTTATTATCTCGTGGCCACGACTTATTATCTTGTGGCCTCAAGATATTATCTCGTAGCCACGAGTTATAAACTTGTGGCGACGACTTATTATCTTGTGGCCACGACATATTATCTTGAGGCCACGACTTATTATCTCGTGGCCTCAAGATATTATCTCGTGGCCACGACTTATTATCTCGTGGCCACGACTTATTATCTTGTGGCCTCAAGATATTATCTTGTGGCCACGAGTTATTATCTCGTGGCCACGACTTATCATATTGAGGCCACAACTTACTATATTGAGGCCACGACTTATTATCTCGTGGCCACGAGTTATTATCTTGTGGCCACAACTTATTTCAGCCAATGAAAATGGACGTTTCATCTTGAACAAAAGTTAATATCACTTATTTAATTGGCTGTAATAAGTCGTGGCCACAAGATGATAAGTCGTGGACACGAAATAATAAGTCGTGGCCACAAGATAATAACTCGTGGCCACGAGATAATATCTTGAGGCCACAAGATAATAAGTCGCGGCCACGACATAATATCTTGAGGCCACAATATAATAAGTTGTGGCCACGAGATAATAAGTCGTGGCCACGAGATAATATCTTGAGGCCACGAGATAATAAGTCGTGGCCACAAGATAATAAGTCGTGGCCACAAGATAATAACTCGTGGCCACGAGATAATAAGTCGTGGCCACGAGATAATAAGTCGTGGCCACAAGATAGTAACTCGTGGCCACGAGTCAATATCTTGTGGCCACGAGATAATAAGTCGTGGCCACAAGATAATAAGTCGTGGCCACGAGATATTATCTTGAGGCCTCAAGATAATAAGTCGTGGCCACGAGATAAAATAAAACTGCAAATGTCACCTCTATGCCACCGTAGTTGCATATGTCAAGTTCTCGTGCCTAGAAATTTATGTGCAAATTAAAGTCGTTATATTACAGGCATGGTTATTTTAGTTATTATTTACTTTTTGTGCAAAAGATTTCAACTTACGTGTATTTGTTCTGTAATTATCATCATTATCATTATTATCATTATTATTATTATTATTATTATTATTATTATTATTATTATTATTATTATTATTAATATAATTTAGGTATGAACAAAGAACTCACCATAATGACCAACTTGATTTTCCTGTATTATGTAAAATGTATGCCGGTAAATGCTTTTATAATTCATTCAGAGGCATTAAATGGTAAATTGCTCTATGATTATGATATAATATAATTAGAGGTTCTCCGAGTGTCAAAGAAAATCTGGTTAATATATGTAATAGGGATTTAATGAATTTCTTATTTCTGTCAATGTTTGTGTAAGCATTTAAATAAAATTAATGTTGAAAACAAATGTCTTTTTCAAAAGATAGAAAAACATATTGAAAAGACACACATCTCTACCAAAGTAATGAAGATTACTTTACGATTCAATAATATGTAACTAATGTACGTATACTGCTATTCAATGATGGATCTCTACTTTTCAAATTTTATATAATCTTTTAAAAAAAAAACATGTAAAAACTAATTTGATGTGAAAACTTACCAAAATTAAATATTATTCACCTTGAAATATATTTTATTTTAATTAACATGTATAAAAATCACAATATACATGTAGTTGCATGCTTTAGATGTCATTTTAACTTAAATGTTAACATCTAATGTTTCATTTTCAAAACCACGCGGTGAACCTCTCTGACTATAAAATTTATTTTAGTTGCTGGCAACATATGTCCTCCTATCTGCTTTTAAGTATGTATTATGATTAATTATCTATGATTAATTAAATCTGGTAAGAGGTTTGTTTATAAGATTACCTCCAAGGATTATGTTATAGGAACGAAAATTACGTACTCGTACACGCTATCAATGGCAACTAATTCTTTTTACCACAAAACTTCATCAAGTTAGTACTTAAAAGTCCTGTCACCATTCGTATGATAAAACATTTCCACACGATGTCTATTCAAGATAAACTTTCTCCTCAAGTAAACTATTTCTAGAAAATACCAAATCAAGAAGGACGTACCGCTTACAGTCTTGCCAACAGGAGCGCAACAATTAGATACAGTGTCAAGTCAAGGAAAACATAACCATTAAATAAAACATTTTCACAGAATGTCAAATTAATTGATAGCTTCTACATTGACATTTAAAGATATAGACTGTCAATGGTAGCAGTCTAATAATTTCTATTTCAAAGGTGCCATGTCTCTTCAAGTTGAAGCATATCTGAGTAGTCAAACTTATTTCATACACTTCAAACACTAAGTTATAATTAAAGGCAAAAAAATGCAATCAGAAACGTTAAAATAAAGCTGGTTTAAGTAATTATCAATTAAAGATTAGCAAGTCAATATGCATAATGATAGGAATAATTACTTACTTAAGTTTTACGTTTTCCTTGTGGTTTTCAATGCTGTCTGCTTTATCTGCATGGCCTTAACTTCAGACCCTTAATTGTGAACATCAATATTAATTTATACAGAGCTAGCATTTATGGTAAACTAGATATAAACTGATTTTAGGTAGAAAGCAAGGAACTATGATACCGATGCCAAGTTTTTCCTACACAAGTTTGAAATCATCTGGTAATACCCATAGAGACAACATGAAAGACACATCTGACTGTGGCATAGGTTACGATAGATAATCCCTATTGTGGAAAAGTAAATCTCCTTCTAGTGTCAAACAAGAGCAGGGAATCATGTCTTACATGTCTATTCTTATTTGTTTATTGATATTCACAAGTGTTAATATATCTATTGTGAACTTGTTTTGATAATACACAAGCTGAACATTATTTGAATGTACAAGAATCTAATAGATAGAAGAGATAATGTAGTGGTTATGGTTAAGGTGTCTGCTTCTTAACCCAGAAATATTTGATTCCATTACATATCATAATGCGTATTTACACATGTAATAATACAGAAAAACAGAATTCTTAAAGATAGCCCAACACGGCAAAATTTAAAATGTTGCAGGCTCGGTTTGACTGCGCCTGTACATGGACGGTACTGGTACTGTGCAAGTTACCGCCTACACCCGCTAGCACCGGCTTTAGCCGAATTCAACATTAACACACGAAAATGGTTAACACTTGAAGTTGAATTAAAGAATTTAATGAGTAATTTAAAAGGGTTGAATTATCTAGTTTTAAAGATCGTAGGATAAAGTATAGCCGACTTTCCTTAAAAAAATATTTTGAAATATATTAATACAAAAACTATCCATAGCACCCGTGTTTGTTACTTGGTTTTCTTGGATTTTAAGTTTCACCAACATTTAGGTAATGTGACAACTTACTGGTGAAAGAAGACCCCAAGACTTTTAATTAATAATGACAGACATAATCTTTACTTCAACAAATAAGCATTCGAAATGACGCCAGTGTCATGATATGAAAAAATAAGTGAAGGTTTACTTTTAAAATATGACACACCAAATGCTGCTGTTTGGTTCGGGAGAAGTAGAATTTCATTTTTTTAATCTTTTTTGTTGTTTTTTTTTTGTTTTTTGTTTGTTTTTTTTGGTTTTTGTACTCCAGACTGCAATGTACCGAAACTATGTGAACATCTTTGGTAGAAATTCATGCAAATTTCATTTTTGGTCAAGTCCTTACCGAGCAGATGTCATTAGACACACATGAGGACGACGGACGGACGAATAGCCACCGGGCTCATAAGCTCGCCAGGTGAGTTGAGATTAATGATTTTAAGGTCTATGAATCATTCATACAATTTACCTTGTATCTACAGAAGCAGCGGTTTTGTAAATGTCAGGGTCTAAACTGTAACCAAATCAGGTAAAAAGAATCACTGTTGCTTGGTGTATACTGTAACACTGAGAAATTCACCTCGCTCTTTACTGTAACATTGTTTATTTATTCAAACGCGTTTGACGAAAAGGAAAATGGGTTCAACCGGTCATTTAACATAAACGTTTCTGAACACAAACGATTAACGTTTTGTATGTTTAATTTTTGTAAACATGCTCAAATAATTTCAGAATGGTATACAAATGCGTTGTTTTTTTTAAACTGTCAAATAACCAATATAGAGATGATGCTGCGTTGCAAGGTTTGAGAAAATATATGACAAGATGTCGAATCTTGTTCATTGTAAGCGAAGCACAAAAAACATCTTTAAGAAACTAAACTACTGGTAGTATGGACCGAAATAAAATCACATACCCTTCCGCAAATAACCCTCAAATTTTAAAATTCTATACTTTAACCGGAAAGCGCGATACTTTAACACCCTCTCTACGGTGTGAATGCTAACCATGTGAAAGTAGGCCTCAGAAAAACATCAAGTTTGTTAAACGTTTTAAGTTGCAGATAAAAAAAGCGAACTCTATTTTGTTACTTTATATAATTTTGGGTTACAATTTTCACAAAAAAATGGAAATATTTCATTTCTTTCCTCGTTGCGCAGCCTCATAGCGAGAAATCATACTAGGGTCGGTGCGGTACATGTCCCAGCAAGACCAACACTCACAGGTCTGTGGTACTCGAATAGTTACCTGTCAAAATAAGCATTCAGTAAAAGCTATTGTAATTAATTTAAACTGCCGTTCATGTTTTATTATTATTATTGCAGTATTTAAGAATATGATACTTTCTTGTGTTCTGTCCATTTTTACCATAGTCCTTATTACAAATAGTGTGAATTGTTCGACATAAATAAAACCTTTTTAAATAATATATTTATTGCATGACATACATGTATAATACAGAAAAATGATTTGTATAGTAATCGTTATCGTAATCAATATATCCTTCACTGAAGACAGATATGGTATTTACCTTTTTCAGACAGAAATGTGGAAACATCCTGCAGTTAACCTCTTCCCATTTCCCCTTTGTCTTCTTGTGAGTATGAATACAAAACGCAAGGACTTTTTTGTATTCGACGAAATTACTCTCTAAACACACAGAATTTTCGACGTGTGGGTGTGGTGTATGGCACCGTATCTTACATTCCGTTCTTTAAATAAAGAAATTACAGTTTGATTACTTATTGTTCTATCACATGGTTTGAATTTGTACCAGTAGTTAAATCTATACGTAATATTAATTATCTAATAATAAAGAAACACTGTATTTGACGTATTTATAATGGCCCTGTAATGTTTTAATATATTGTTACTGAAACATTTTACCTTCAGGAATGTTCTCAAAGCTTTGTTTTTTGTCCTTGCTCTATCTTAAATACTGTAAAAATTCTCAATTAAGACCACCATTGGGACTCGAACAGAGTGGTTTTAATTGTGGGCTGGTCTTAATTGTGAATATTTTTATCATTGCTTACATAATTTACGACTATGGTCTATTTTAGTTATTTTGTCTGAACAAAACAATATTTATCTTAAGTTAATAACCTACAAATACAATATATGTTATAACATTTAATCAGATAAAAGCAAAACATTTTTCTGAAGAAATTTAATGTTTAATTTTGTTTGGTCTGATTTGTATATAATTAGTTAAATAGGTTGTTGCTACCACACGAAATAATATACAAATTGTATATAGTATAAGGGATAATATAGAATTTTTAACTTTGAACATGTCTATTAACAGTGAGAGGGAAACTCTACTGTTTTACTTAATGGAAACAATTTCAACCTTGTTATCAGAAAACTTCGTTCATTTTGCATATGATGAATTACGTCATCAGTTTTCCTGTGATTTAATTTATTGCGGCTGGTTTACTACAAATTATATATCCAATTTTTCGACACAAATGTGTTTTTTGTTTTTTTTTGGGGGGGGGGGGTTTCGCATCTTTGCGGTCTGTTTACGCATGCGCATATGTTTTACACACATGTCATTTGCCATCGCTGAGGATGTTGGTACAAATACATGAAATCACATTATGTAAGCTCTCTCTGAGTCACTTATGAGTACAGCAACAATGCAAAATAAATTGCCGAATTGAAAAAGAAAAAATCGAAAATACATTTGTGTTTTTCACAATGTCGAATTTATGGCGGGGAGCAAAATATGACATGGAGTAAATCAGCCAATTTGGTTTAAAGTATTTCAAATCTGTTTTTTTGTGTGTGTGAAATAATCAAAGAACAAAACCCTAATGATTAGCAGATCTAATATTTGTCAGGCCATGTTCTTATAATTTCAATTTAGGCTCTAATTTTTCAATATGAAGATGAGAATGAACTCGATATAATTTAGCCAACAACATTATTTTCTAGTGTAACATAAGTGTTATATCGTTTATGTGTCCTACATGTAATAACCAGTTGCATCATAGTTTGGAGACCATTCTGTTGAAAATTTAGATAGATTACTCATACATGCCTAGTGAGTGTAGGTATTATTTACCCGCACTCGAGTTGCCACACTGTCTGTCTTGGATACAAATAAAGCGTAACCGTTATATGTTTTGTTATTGGGTTTACTAATTGTGACGACCATGAAAGGAAAAACAATGCAGATGCTCGTAAATTGGTTTTTTCCGGGGAATCATGTTGTGACAATAGGGAACGTGTTTCTATTTTGCCTATGATACCAAAAAGAAAGAACATCAAAATACTCGGCAATCTGATTTACACTCGGGGTCTAACAAATCAGATACCCTCGTGTTTCGATGCTCTTTCTATTTCTTATATTTCGATAAAACAATTGTATATTAAATACGTACGAAGTACAGTTGACAATTCTAATTTGTTCTCTGCACGGATACAGAATGTAGCAGGTTTCTGTCAGGAAAGGATTTGTTGGTATTTTCCTGGTGAACTTGCTCAGCCAGTGTACTGTGTACGGACATGCTATCTCCCAGTAATATCTTCTCATGTCTCTGTAGATAGTGGAACAAAATAAAACAATAATGTACATGATGAAATCATCTCCTTCCATGTTACATTTCATAGATTTTTTCTTATATCTAGCTGTTATTAGATCTATTACTATATGTTCTCCGAACTTGAAATACGGGAGTCATTCAATAGGTCGTGTTAGCTTATCTAAGTGAATTTTGGAAAGGGGAGACGCCATATTAGCAACGAATACATACACAAACCGTTAAAATGTTTAGACTTGTTTGTAATTGTGTCTATAAATTTAGGAGTAATAAGAGTGACAAATGTGACAAACATATAACAGTCACTCCATAAAGAGTTTATTTTTCTCAAAACTGATATAAACTTACGGTTTGAGTTGAGCTATTTTTTGACATGATCTGTCCTTGAAGTTACTTCTAAATTTTTTCGGAAGATTTCTTGCTCTCTTTATATATTCCCACCTACAGTGCACAGATGTCATCATTTTAATCATAAAACATTAAAATTGAATATTAATTTATATCTCAAGTTAAATACTTTAAATATACATGTATGTATGAATGTACAAGTATACATTTACACTCAGCCACATGAATAGAAAAAAAAAATAACTTCAGTGTATGCACAAGAGAAAGTTTAGAATGTTATTCAAGTAAAATCGTAGAACATCAATCAGTATTATTACTAAGAATCATAATATCTCCGGTGTATTTAGGTATTTTACAAGCAATATTCGTTATTTGTTTTGATACATTATTCCTTACCATACTGAGTCAATCAGTGTTCCATCAAAACTAATGATACTAGATGATTCTGTTGGTTTAGGGTTACATGGGTCAACGGTAAGAGGATCATTGTATTTCAATACAGTTGCAACCTGTAGTTTATTTACTTCCTGTGCTGATACGCCTACATGTAAGCTTAGGAACGTGATGATACACAAATACAGGAGGATCTGAAGACAAGAAACAAGACCGTATACATACATTTGATAAATTGCTGTGAATAAAGTTTACTTTGTTGTCACATAATCAAGAAAGGTACTGTCACATTTAAACGTTAGTGTATTATTTTGTCATATAGCACTAGTTAATTAAAAGATGTAAATGTTTCTTATAGGATATAAATGTACATGAACCTGAAATGATTTTAATCATTAGAGCGTTTGTCGTAGTTTCAATGATGAAATAATATTCAAAATTCAAATATGTTTGTCTAATGTTTCTATGGTTTCAATGCTTAACACATTAAAATATAGATCGATAACGCATTGAGACGTACCATTGTCTTGTATTTACGGTTGTCTAAAGCAAGAAATTAATATAATATTCTTAACAACATGTGTATGCAGTCCACTTTGGTTTTGATAAATTGATGCAATGTGTTATGCGCATGTCCTTTTTCAAAAACGATGATAAGATATCACTTCAAAAATGAAAAATATATTTTCTTAGCAAGATTCGAACCTTAAGGTTTTAGTTTTAATATCTTGCATATTACCTTTGCAGGTAGCATGGCACGTGACACATATGTAATACACATGATTCAAGTATGTCGGAGGCTGTCATCATGGAGTATATAATATTTCAATCACTTAAGCTAATGTTGCCAAACAAATTGTTGGTTACTTTAGTTGAAGTGATCATTTTAGAAGAATAGGCGTATGTTTTCTCTTTTTTCTTATAATCAAATTCGAATAAGATTTAAGCGATAACAACTAACACCTTATTTAGTCGGAATCTAAAAGGTCAACGATGACAACATGAAGTAGAATATGACAATAAACTATATCTTACAGCAAATGCATTCTTAAAATGCTAGTGAAAAATATGGAACTAAATTTCATATCAGAAACAAAGCCTTAAGGTGTTATTGTGAAATCTCAAGCAAAACATTGACATGTTGATTGTGATTAACAGTTAACATATTATATGCTCCTTAATTAATTAATTAATTAATTAATTTATCAAATGATATATCAATATTTACAGTATGTGAAATACAGTGATTAACAAAAATACAACAGTGTGAGAAGGTATCTCCACTGAGGTCAAAAACCCTAAAACCATAAAATTTGAATTTCTTACACAGGTCAAATTGGGCACTTAAAACAGACAGGTATGCAAAAGATAATTAAGTTTCTCAATTTCATATCATTTTCACGATTAAAATATCCATTCTGGGGAAAAAACACGGCGTGAGCAAATGATATTAAAGTTTGCACTCTACACCTACATGTAATGAAATATAAATATTGAAAAAAATATTTCCAGTCTCGTCATGTCGGGAAAAAAACTCAATGGAGTACCTCTAAGCCACTTGTTTTGTATAGTACTTGTATCTCTTCAAAGATGTTTTGTTCAATTATGTAATAAAACTTTGTTCTAAACGTATACCAACTATCCGAACTAAACAGGTGTGGCTAATTTAAGGATTAAAGAAAATAACACCTACCATCTTCATTGTTGTTTAAGCTCTGAAATAAAATTAAATAATATATGTAAATAATATATTCTCCAAAATCATGTAAACTGATTATTTTGTGCTACAACTTTTGTTCATGTACCATGATATTGTTTTTCACTTATACTATACAAATGTTTGTAAAATGACTATGAACTAAATGTATACGTCAAAAAATTATCTATTTATCTAATAAATCATATAATTTATCATTTTATTTAACAAAACTTTTGTTCACATAGTGCTAATACAGACAGCACTAAATCTTAATTCAAATTTCACTAATTTTAGGTTTGGTGTGCAAAAGACCTTTGTCTAGGTATATTTTTTTTCGTTAGCTGAAAAAAAACTAATATTTACCTGACCTGAGATTAAGCCAACATTACAGATATGACAGTTAACTTTCTTTTTATATTGATTGTTGTCTCTCACCAGATGATAGGTTCGGCGTGAGTCAATTTGGTATCACTTTACGCCAGAACTTTATACATGTTGATGTCAAATCTTTACAATCAAAAACAAAACAAAAATATTGTGAAGGTTAAGAGTTATTCTAAATGTTATGATATAGAGCCTCAATAATTTAACAGTCTTCTGTATATAAAGTATAACATTCCACGAATATGAAATATGTAAACATATATATTTAATAAAGAGCGCATAAAACGGCAACATTGAAAATGTTAAAGCTCGGCATAAGTGGCCTGTTCATGTAAGGTAGTGTAAGTGGATAGTACAGGCTTATGTACAAATCCACATTTCTTGTTTGATATTAAGCAAACATTACCTGTATATAAAATAAGGAACCGTTAACTAACTTATGCAAAGAAAACATGAATCTTATTTCAAAGCAACAGAAACAGTGTAACTAATTAAATATTAGAATCATCAGTTTAATATTAATATATCATTATTGGAAACGGATTTTGTATATATAAAAACAAAAACACACGTATTTTTTATGATTTTTTGTTCGTCGCACCTCCTTGCTGTGGTTGATAAGAAAAAGTATACTTCATGATAATCTTATGCGACATGTGTTATTTCGACAGTACCAGATGTGGTTATGTGTTTAATGTTGTGTGTAAAACACATATAGTTAAGTCGTGTGTTTATGTATACAAATAAAGAGAGAGCTTATAGATTACAGGAATAACACATGATGAAAACTCTGCTCATTAATAACAGCTCATTAATTACCGTGTAAATCTTGCATTAGTCATATATAGGTTGGTAGGTGTACTCTTAAGTCTTAAGTGGCCATACCACGTGACTTTTAGAATACGGTACACGCAGATTTTTCTCTCGATCAAGGTATGTTTTTTATTAATAACTTTGCTGTTACTCAACCGATTTTGATCAGATAAGGCGCAGAGTACCCGTAATTTTATAAGCGACACACGGTAATGGCTTTTGAGAACATTCGAGTACAGTTATTTTATCAGTGCCGAGGCCGAGGGGAAAGGTACACAGTAATTTATCACAAAAAGCGATTTCTAGAATGTTTTCTGTGTTTTTTGTCAATGTTTCATTGAGAAATTAATGCTAAATCTAACTATGTCCAATGTATCTAGTGAATGCAGTGATGTTATAGCATAATTTCATGAAGTTATGTTGAAAAGGTACGGAACACACTGTAATTTTGAAGGATACGTTTCACGCAAATTTTCTTTTTGAAATAAATCTGTAAAAAAATATATATGAAAACTTGCTTTTACATTTTACTTATAATATGAGTATTTTTTTATCTATTTTTTTTTGTCGTTGATTTTTAATTTACATATCTTATATATTTACAAGAGAAGCCTCTAGGCCTGTTAGTGTTTTGTTGATAAATATATGAAAAATCTTTATGGCTTACTCTTGCTGTTATTTTAAATTAATGCAATGCTGTTTTTAGCAATAGTTCATTAAGTTATAATGAAATGCTACAGAACACAGTGAAGTGATTTGAAATACATGCACTGTAGGGAGGGATACCGAGAACATTCTAATTATGTTCTGTTTTGTTTTTCATTTGTAACAATTATTTATACTTTTTGCTGATTATAAAACAAATTGTTGAATACATGGACATCTGTTATGTACCGTTATTTTTTCATTTAATTTATTTATTCCAGTACATAAATGACTGTCTTAACCTTTCGGCTGATAGTGCATGTATAGATAAGGAACGAACTAGTAGTTTAGAGTAAGTTAGAAATATATGTTCTTTGCAAAAGTTTGTTTAAGTAATCCAATTTGAGCAGAACGCTGACTGGGATGCAAGTGTTTTTTTTTTTCATACAGTCAATATGTAAAGTATTTTTCTGTCCAATGACATTTGGTATGAATCACCTGTCAAGGTCCCAAACTAACTACCTAAATAATAAAATTATTCAAAAATGGACAGAGATATATGTAATCAAAATTTAAAGCCAGATAACTTTACGAACCCATATGGGCAAAAAGATTGTTCTATTACGTCATTTACGAGTAGTTTGGTAAAGGTATAACGGTGTCATATACATGTTTGACCTTTTGGTCCAAGTAAGTGCTAGGTGCACTCCTGAACCTCGAGCCTCATGTGGTTGTTGGGAGGCAAGAGTACCACCTTCACGGTAGGCTCTATGCACAGGCGTCAGACACATCAGTACCATCATCTTCAGTACTAAGTTAAATAATAATAGTAATAATAATCAAAAGAAAATAGGAAGGTAAAGGACATTATAAAAAAAAACATTTTTATCTTCTGAATGTCCTTATGAACATGTAAGAAGCTAGATGTGTTTGTTGCATATGAGAGGTAAGCATCGCCGAATAAAAGTATAGAGATATATTTCGTAAACTGTCAAGAAGATTAGCACGTTGGGCATTAAAGCGTTGACACTTAAAGAAGTAATGGCACGTGTGTTCAATTTTCCCACATTCGCAAAGAGGACTGTCTATAATATTTTTTTTAAATAAATGCTCCTCTAGTGAACAACAGTGGGTCCTTAGTCTTGTGTGATATATTTGATCAGTTCTCGAACCAATATAATAGTACTTCCGGATCGGTTATGAATTTAAATTTAACTTACTATTAAAGATACTTAAGGATGAAGAGTTTTGCAAGGAAGTCAAAATACTACTTTGTTTACATTTTGATTCTTAAATAACAAATAATTCAGTGTGTGCTTAATTTTCGTCTAGTGATAGTATCTAACATGCAAATGTATTCTTTTGCTAAGCATAATGTGCCATTGCCAATATACGATAACATATAAAAATATATTTTATTCTCATTTTAATTTGTAACAAATTCAATACATGTTAGCATATGAGCATATAATCCCTTCCCAACCCCTTACCCCACTACCCCAACCCCTATAAAGGGCATTCAGATAAACGGAGACATGCAAGCCTGATTCAAGCCAGGGTGTTTTAAATACAAACAAGACCCTGTTTGATAACAATAATTGTGCAACAGACCAATCAACGTTAATGTGATCACAGTAAAAACCCATGTTATACCAGGGCAACCTACTTTCTTCTTTAAGGTTACTTTTACAAGTGTATATGTGAAATGTGCTCGTAAGACCATAACAACATTTATCTTATAATCGGATTATTTCTATGCTTATATCGTTAAGCTAGTTTATTTTGAACCATTATCAAGGATATTATTGTGTGTGACAATCACACTTGGTTATCTGCCAACTTTTGCTTTCTGCTTTAACAGGATTTATTAGACGCCCGAAAAATCTGGCTTATTGTGTTATGCACCTGGTCTGTCCGTCATTTAGCAGTTTCCGTGTTCGGTCTGTATCTTTTAAACCTATGGAAGGAAATTAAAACTACTTGGCAGAAATGTTTACCATAATGAGTCGATAGTTTTCAGCTTTCTCAGTCAATGTCACAATCAGTCATTTTGTATCAATCATATCCGCCTTGTATCTCTGTAATTGTGTGACACAACGATATCCAGAGCTTAGATATTTGCCATTTAACATAACTTTGTTGACCACAAAGTAACTGATATATATCATGCTCCTTGGGTTAAAATTGGCGCCGCCGCGGGGGTCACTTAGTTAATAGATTTGTGTGTAGGAAAACACGTTTAAGTCATATTTAATGAAACTACAATGGAGTTAAGATATTTGACATATCGCATTGCCTTCTTGGCTTCTGTATAGTACATTAATCATGCCATTTGGGTCAGTGTTGCCCCGGGAGTACCGTGCCTAATGAAGACTAAGGTAGAGGATATAAGATCTTATTGTGGAATAAACCTATGCCCCTATATCTGACATATAGCATTGATAGTCGACCTTTATCGAATCATACACTTAGCGTAACTAATGCCCTCCATCTTGCAGGTTATATAGCATTATAAGGATAATTTAGATAAAGTATTTTCAGACAAGTTTCTTGATTGGGTATCTACACTTATTTAAAAGATTGTTTTTTAATTTCAAACAAATTTACATTGGGGCAAATATTGTCCCGCCTTTGTGGTGCTCTAGCAGATATCTGACGGATCTAAAAAAAGTTTTATGTCTTGACATGTAACGAAATTGTATTTTGTGATGCATCCGTTTATGGCAGATAAAGGATGAAACCTTTTAATTCCGATGCCACCAATAATTGCAAAAGATTTGTGCAAGCGTAGATATCAAATCATTTGTTATTTGACTTTAAAAATTATTTAAAGAGTCAATTGTTGTATTAATTGATACGTTGAAATATTTTTATTGGCAATAAATGCCAACCATATGTAGTCTTAATAGCCATCAAATTTAGGCAGCTGATATTCATCATGTTAATATTTTCATTGACTTTTCAGGAAACCTGGACAGCTTATATTTTCTTAGGTATCTTACTCCGGACGGCCGTCTGTCCAACCTCGACAAGTGTTTATCATATGATACACATTCTGTATATACATTCCGGTTCAAATACCATGTAAAGAAACACGAACTTTTACTTTTATCATTTTTTTTTTATTTTTCTTTATTTTGACCATTGATATCAAACGATATATATCTGACAATCAGTTTATCTAACAGTAACAATAATGACTGTTATCTTGTTTATCAGCTTGGCATGGTTTCTCGTCGGTTTAATGATCATGTTTACCTCGACACGACCAGCATTCGCAGCACTGTGGCACTGATATTGTTACCTGTATAAATATCATTATATGTATATTTTAATATAATAGAAAAGTTTTTTTTAAAACTTATACTCAGACAAAACTTAAATTGCTTAAGAGACTTTCCAAACATAGTTTACTTATTCTGTTATTGAAATTAGACAAGTTCAATAACTACTTCCAAGATTGCATCAAATTTCTTCAGTAAAAGTATTTTACCCAAAAATGAGCAAAGTAAATCTTTTTGATTGTTTGTTATATATAAACATTTAAGCCATTCTGATTCTGAATTTCTTTATGTTTGCCATTAAAAAGGGAACTTATCTTTGGGATATGGTACAAGTACTACCAATTCTAGCAGACCTAAGATATATTTTACCAAGGCAAACCTCGCTGTTGTATATGTTCTAATCGAACATGGTGCTTGATTGTCAGTATAAAATAAAGCTATCGGTACTATTAAATCAGAAAAACAATTCTGAAAAGTCGTTTGCACCTTAGAAATATTTGTAATAGTGAGCACCCAATTTGTTCTCTAAGGAGCGAAACTAAATATGTTATCTTTCTGTTAACTCTCGAAAACACACATACACACACACACACACACACACGCACACGCACGCACGCACACACCAACACACACACACACACACACAAACAAAGAATGCATTAACGATTAATTTTGAAGTTATTTACATGTGGCGAAACCTTGGTACAATGTTTAAGTCACAAATGATATATAAATATGTAACAGTAATTCTAAATGCCAAGAGAGTCACCAGTTCGAAAAAGACAAGTGTGATGGGTTTTCTAGTCTTTTCTGGGTATATTACTGAACAGATGGCACCTTTACAATGAATCAGTATAAGTCTGGTCGAGACTTATTTTTGAATATGAGTGCTCAAACAGACCCAAAACGAAGACCCAGTAAGGGTCGGATACTTGGATGTAGTTTAACAGAACTAATTGTGAACACTAAGTGTTTAAAAATCTTAGCCTAATAATAAAACTTTATTCAAGGCCCTCATACCTTAATGCAACAAAATGTCTATACCCGCAATATAACTATTAACATGTATTGTTTGCAGTGTGTAACATTAAGAAGGTACCTACCAGTTTCAGACAGCGATGAGGATTACTTCTACAATCTATCCCGACCCAATCTCCATTTTCCTGCACGTACGTAATCGGACAGAACACGTAAATGTCCTTATACTCACGGAAATGGGTCTCTAAACATACTGAATTATGTTTGTGGGGAATCTTGTCGTCTTTGCAATATGTGCCGGTATTACATATTGTCCTGTGTAAATCAATGAAAGATACTAGACTTATATTGTAATTGCACCACAGTAATTTACAACAATAACATGCCCAAACGTTAAATATTTTAGTATTGAAAATAATAGATGTTAAAAAATGGTTTCTTATCGTGGCTGATTAATGCCATTTGTGTTTTCGCCCCGCGCCCCCGCCATTTGAACTTGTTAATTCTCGACTTTTCGCTTGCCGGAGTCGCGGGACGAAAACACGCTAATCAGCGGGGCTGCGGGCGAATATTTATTTCTTAATTCTCGCTCCGCGCCCTCGCGGGCGAAGTTTTATTCGTTTAACTTCGCCGCGCGCCCCCGCTAATTAGCGTGTTTTCGCTCCGCTACCCCGCCATTTTAAATTGTAAATTCTCGACTTTTCGTTTGGCGGGGTCGTGGGACGAAAACGCGAATGACACAAATCAGCCACCATAGTTTCTTGATACGTTTATTTATACTTCTATACAATGTCAAATGAAATTTTTGTTAGCATGTATAAATAAAGCATTTCAAATTAAAGTGGTTGTACTTCAGAAGTGTATCATTAAATAATGAATGTATAAACATGAAGTATGATAACTTACGTATTACATTTGACAATCCTTACTTGTTGACAACATGGCCACAGTAAGTAGCATGTTTCATCAAATTTTTTACCTGGAACTCTCTGTGTAAATTTGCCCAACCACGACGCTTTATACGGGCAAGACGACTGCCAGAAATAAGTAATTCTCCTTTCAGGTCTGAAACGTTAAAATATCAATAGGAATATCAAAACGTAGGTGAAAAAGTAGTGTCCATATTTGATAAAACGACATGCACGATAGCATGTGTGCTTCGAGATTCAAAGGAAAATGCATAATACCGCTAAAAATGAAACGAGGTTCTTGTATATGTGATTCCAAATGGTCCTCCTGTCTTATCCTATATCTTCTTATGACAAATCGTAAATACCTTTTTAAATTTATTTGATAAATATCCATTACATATATCTTTCTAATACAAATGTAAACGACGTGTTCTACATGTACAATTATATATTCAATGTTCATAATTATCCTTTATGTCGGCTACCAAGTAGATCTATAAATGTTTCCTATTAATGTGCAGCTGTGGAGATAAACATATAAATGATTATCTCACGATTTTGTTGGGTGATGTATTTCTTCCGATTCGTCTACAGGACTCCAAGGTGGTGTACAATTGCTTTCTCTCGGAAATTGGCTAAACAAAACCGAGTTGTTGCTAGCTATCATCACATAGGGCCACCTGCAATGTATAGATGATATAAACGACACTCAATAGATTTTTCATCCATCAAAGCTTATATGAATGACTCAAACTGACTGAAAATTAAATATACTGTTTACATAACGAAGCTTATTTCAGGCAATTATAATCTGTGCCCTGCAAACAGTGGGGTTCATTATTTCAAACTGCTTAACTGGCCATATAAACAACAGTTTTGCAATGAAAATTCATTAATAAATACCAGTCATCTCCCTTTATATGTATGTAGATAATATATTTTTGATAACTCATGATATGGCAACTAACAAATGTATTAATGCATTAGCTCTTTCTTACTCTTACTCATCTTTAACAGTCGAAAACAATTCTTTAGCTAATTACCAGTCATCACTGAGTAAAGACTCGTCCCAGTCCGAAAATTGAGTAGGTGGCTCAGGGACAGGAGATCCAAATATATTCTCACATGGTGCAGTATTAAACGGGTCCAAAGTTGGAGCGCCGCCTCTTTCAAGTGGTACTGGATCAGGCTGACACTGACATACAGTCAGGATCAAGGTTATCAGAATCACAATGTTTTTAAACTTAAAAAAAGCAATATGTTAGGGTAAAAACTAGTGTCACAAATCAGGAAATTGTGAAGGACATTTAATGTGTATAAAGTTTTAAACAAAATACAATATTTTCATATATCATAAAACATTAAATTCAAACTTGTTACCTAATAACCCATCAAAACATTGTGTTCCACAAAGCATTTAATTCAATTAAATGAGTTTAATTCACTTTTAAAATTGTTTTACCAAATTGAGTCCTTACCATATTGATTCCTCGTATGATATCTGGAATAGAAAATTTGTGAACAAAATAAATTAATATTCTGAACAAACAATAGCTTCATCCCTCGATTTTAATATTTCCATAACAAAATATATGCAATTTATCAACTTCATCAAATTTCTTACAGAAAAAGAATTGATCTCTATATATATAAAGAATATTATATTTTACGAACCTTTTGTTTACCATGTATTTATTAAATAACACATAAAATGGCTTTACATGGCAAGTACGCTTTTTATACCATACTGAAAATGTCAACGAAGGCTTAACGAAGGTTCGTCTCGGGTGCGCTATAATATCATAAAAGTTGTCCTGAGCAAGGTATTAGTAATAAGATTTGTATAATTATGACTGTTTCAAATGCTAGAATAATCAAATTTTAAGACAATTGTTTTGTGTAGTACGGGAAAATATAAAAAAGAATACAGGTACATTCTTCAAATGGCTTATTTTAGAAATAATAGTTAAAACATGAATATAGCAAGCATATTATCGTTGACCATAAGAATTATTTCATTGACATTTTTCTACGTAAAGGCACTTAATATGTTACGGCAGTTTGATCGAGCATGAACGGTACTAGAATTTGCAAGACACCGTCCACGTCAACACCCCCCCCCCCCCCAGAACCGGCTTATGCAAAATTCAATCTTAAACATTAAATGGTATATTTTTTTAATTTAGGTACATCCGTAGATCTGTTCATAAGTCTGCACTTTTGACCATTTCTTTTCGTTGTCATTACTATTTCCACTTTTACTTTTAGAAATAGACACACTTTAAATTAAGTGACATAACAAATTTCAAGCGCACCTCAATGTTTCATAATACATTTTGTTAATACATTTTGTTAATGTGATTAACAAAATGATTTGCATACACGTGTTTTGTTTTATTTCTACATCAGTGATTATAAGATATTTGCTTATTCCATTTGGTGTTATAACTCCGTATTTTTCTAGGAACAGAACAAAATACCAACAGATGTTAGACTAATTTGTGTTCACAGATTATGACACATAAGAGTGATGACCTGACCTGTAATTTCTTCTAACTGTAACAGTCGTCTTCCAATAGCTCAAACATTCTTTTTTTTTCATTTACGGAACCATAAAATAATACATTGAAAAAAAAATCACTTAAGAATGCCTAAAAGTGTAAAACTCAAATTTTGCATGCGCAGATCAATTATTCCTGTTCATGGACCTTATTTGTAAGCTATTGTCCTTAACCCCCTCCGCCGGATTGGACAGTATTCAACATTTAAAACATGGCAATTATGAAAAGTTTGGATATAGAAACACCAGCAGATATGCTCATACGGTAGTGCTAATAGAACATTTCACGAAAAGCAGCTTGTGGCCTCTAAATAAATCAGCGGTGAAAACATTTATCGGGATTCAATAAAATGAGATATTGTAAGAGTTTAGGACAAGTCAAACCTGCATATCACAGAAAGAGGTCAAAAGACAAATTGAAAACGCTCTCAGCATGCTTTAAGGGAATTATTCATGATCAAATTAGGAATAAGAAAAAAGGCAAATAGAAGAAAATGAAAGTACCATAAATACAACAATTCTGTCACGATAAATGGCTTTTAAAGATCGTAAGTATAATATCTTATAATGCATTCATAACGCAACAGGGACCAATTGTTGTTGTACACAAAAGAAATTTTATCCTCAAAATATATGTACGAATATATGCATTTATAAAAATGAGGCTAGATGGAGTTCGATATACATTTGAAACATTTTTGTAACGTTTTGTTCTTTGGACTCTGGAAATGGAAACGAGGCTAAATGGGGGGGAATTGGTCATATAATAATTTCTATTAAAACATCACATGGCTCAAACATTGAATGTCATGGGTTATTCTTGAAAATGTGTGAAATAAATGTTTGTGTTTCAGTTATATTTACGATGCTCGAACCTCTCTAATGAGTTATTTAAAGCTACATTGGCCACTCGGTCATATCATCACACAAAGAGTCCAAATAATCGAGCCAGGAAAGTAATTAAAGCTCTGAAATTCGTAGCAACTATATCAAAATAAACCAAAAAAGAATCGAAGAATGTGAAAAGGTTAATAATACATATATTTCTGCTTTGAAAGACAATACTGAATTGCTTCGACTGTTCGACTATTAGATTTTGTGTTAAAACGGTCAGATATTGATGATGCACACGCGACTGTAACAAACATAATAACAGATTCATCAGCGTGTTTCACGACAATACCTGTATATGGAAACGCATGTGAAGAAAAAACGCAAATCGGAAAGGACGGCCACGCGATATAAAGTACTACCTATTTTATAGAAAAAAGCCAAACATGAATTTTAATTACCATGTGAATCGATTGTCAGACAATTAGATTACGAAAGAGACAAAACAGCCGGAGTTGATTCAAAGAAGTTCTGGAAAATAGTTAAGTCCGGTAAAAGTTCATCGAAATGTAAATTCATCGAAATGTTCCTCCGGCTTGAATAAAATTTACATGTTAGTAGTACCATGCTATTTACAATTGATCCTATTTCTTCCCCGGATGACTTTCCTACTATCCTATCGCAAACAATGTGGGAATTAATTTTATCATGCCTAAAAGGAAAGGGTTGTTGTCATGTGTTGAACCATTTTAGCATGATATATTCTGTCCTCTATACAATTTTCAAAAACGACGATCCTAATTATAATAATACCATATCTTTCGCTTCATTCTGGTTGTTTAATGTGTTGGTTTTTAATTTGGTGTTACGTCGAACCAACACTCTGAGGGTCATATGGCGACTTTCAAGCTTATTTGGTGGAGAAAAATCTCCAGTGCTCTTCCGTTCATAATATATGAAGCGAACAGGCTCTTGACTAGAACAACCGACGTCTCGTCAGTTAGCGGGATAATCTCCAATATGAAAGAATCCAAGAACCAACAGCAGTGGGTGGTAAGTGGTTTGAAGTCAACGACCTTAACCATTCGACTATTTGAAATAGTTCTTATGTATTGATGTAAAAAGAAACTCAATCGAAGCTGAATATACAACAATGATGTTTCAGGAGCAGTAAAGCTGTCCGATGACGTCATTTGTAGTATGCATCCTTTTCCACGAGTCGACGGCAAATTGTACGTGCGTTTTCTAGACCGCCGTCAGGCTTTTGGCCTACTCTTTTTTGCATAAATAGCCTTATACCCGCACGGTATAGGAAGGTATTTGATGACAAGTGACCAATTTTTGGCCGATGGAGGTGTAAAAAATGAATTACTGACCACACATACTTCCATGTAGAACTACATTATAAATTCCGAAGGAATTGACTTTACATATAAGAAGGATTATGTTTGCCCTAACACTTGAAAGTGTGGGAGACGAGCAGTTCCTAAAAGTTAGAGTAATATATATTTCACTGTTTAAAGATGCCTTTTAGGGATGATTGATAAACTTTCTTTTTAAAAAATGGAGGGAATATGAGGAAAACATCGCAATGCAAAGCGATATAATGACGATGCTTATTCATTAAAATGAGTCATTAAATACACATCTGACTTTATATTTTTTAACCTATCATCTATGTTATCATAGCGTTGATCAGTGTCCGGATGTCTAGGTTTAGGTCAATGCGCCGAATCCTTTCAATACTTCCAAACCTTTTGAAAAATTGTATATTTGTAATATATTGCATAATTATGTAACTATAACAAAATAATTACTTACCTATTAACTTACAGACGCCACCCAGCTTTAAGTATAAACATTAACGACAACACTATACGTATTGTAGTAATACTACATATGTACATGTATGAGTCGTTGTTATTTTTGTTTAGTATTGTATATGTAATATAATATACATGTACTGACTTAAGCTAATCACAATGTTAAAGCTTAACCTTCATTTGCTTTCAACGAGCAATAATATCAATGATGTTGTATTTCGAGTCAATTAAATATTAAACAAAACGAATAAATATGTTCAAAACTTGGATCAATTAGCAACTCAGGATTTTTAACTTGCTTATTTCCAACTGAGGTATCTTGTTAAACTTTTGTTTCCGACAAGATAGGTTAAGAAGATTGTATATATTCAGTACCCTTTGAATTATATACACTATCAATTTGTTATTTGTTATTAAGCAAAACTATCAAGAGCAAGACTGATTATTGTCATCTGTACCCATCAGAATTATTACAGGATTTCTGACAATATGCTTTTAAATCTGGATTAAAGAGTTGACATTTGATACATTTCTATGTTTAATTTAGTTATTACACTGTGAATATGTGGCAATTGTTGTTGTTGTTGTTTATTATGGGTATGTCTCTATAAATTTTTAATATATTGATTTCCGTTTAATTTCTTTAATTTGATAACATGTTATATGTTTTCGGATATGTATAACTGCATCTACAAATACTATTTAATTGTCTCTATGTCACATTATGTTTAAAGAATTATATTATTATGTTTGTATATATGCTCAGTTCTTCATGTATATCAATAAGGATGTAGATTATCTTTCTCTCTTGTTATAGGTTTCCTACACATACAGTTCACGGTGCAGATTTCTTTGTTTTAACACAGTTTTCTTATTTGAATGTACCATCCTCATTCTTTACGTTTGGTCTACCTGCATACCCATTGACTCTGAATATATCACTCGTCTCTTTCTATTCCATGTGTGAATGCTTCGCAGCTAGTTTACTTGAGACCGATGATTATAACCACACGTCCGCTGGTGTCTGAAAATGAAAGAACGAGAGGACAATAATAATATCTGTCATATGTTTCGGTTCGGATCGGAATATCCGTCCCGAGGTGACCCGCCCATTGGGCGGTAACGAGGCTTGCCGAGTTACCGCCCATGGGCGGGTAACCGAGGGACGGATGTTCCGATCCGAACCGCAAACATATGTCAGATATTTTTTCTTGCATATTCTACCATATTCCATTATATTTTAAATTCTTTATCTTTATTTTCAATAGAAATTTATATCATGACAACCGTAACTACTTTCTTACAACAGCGTATGAAATTGCAACTTCATTCATAACGGTAAAATGACGTCATCCTAAGCGTGCCATTGTACAGCACGCGACTCATCTGGAACCCCCCATGCCAGATGAAATTTCCGGCATGGGTAAAACTAACGGAAACGCCAGTCTGCTATGCAAGAAAGTGCCTTCCTCGACGAGTACAACTGGCACATCGTTATGATGGTTATGTTACACAATTGTTACAAAATTTACACCGCCATATGATGTTCGGATTCGTTACTTGTATGGCTTAAATGGGTGTTTAAAAAGAATAAAACACAGCTGTTAATGGAGCGGGACAGAAAAAGGTTCACATTGATTGTCTTGCGTTTTGAAGATTAATCATGTGCAGATACGTTCACCAAATTC